CCGCCCAGCAGTACCGCCACATTCCAAAGGCCCTTTTTTACGCTGTGTGGTCGCGGTTTCCGCTGAAAGCGGCAACGTCGCCTCTCAAATATGAATGAAATCCGGTCGGCGGCGAGCGGTGCGGCAACGTCGCTCCAGACGCTTGCCTGATTGAGAACTACATCTCTCCCGCATCGTTCCTTTGCGCTCCTCACTTGTTTCTCATGCTCTGTATATGAATAAGTTTGTGGCTATAAACGCATCGCATACCGCGCCGATCATATTTTATTTAACATCTGTCAACCGCACGTGAGCTATCTCAGTATAGTCCTAAAATAGAGTGTAGATTGGTTGAGCTGCATATGCTTCAAAGAACCTAGGTGGAGGTTATTATGATATCTGATTATCTCTCTCTCAAAATTTGGAAAATAAACAATTGGTTATGAAATCAACTAGACGTCCCCACCTCGAAGCCCCTCACAGCTGTAGTACACCCCACGATAGCGATTTCTAACCCTCCTAAATTTACGCATGCGCTGTGGGGTTGTCATTGCAGTACCAAAACTGTTATTCGTGGCATAGTAGCTAGCTATGCTCGAATCCAAACGAACGTTGTGGTTGCATTCTAACAATTTAATCGAAAATATTTCTGTTGATGGTGTAAATAGTTGCGTGGCAATGTGTCTTAGTGTTACGTGAAATTTATCTGTGTCTACCGGTCTCAATATGCCAATGCTCGTAAATCGCAACCATAGAAATGGTAAATATTGATCGTGGCTGTCGCAGCCATTATTGTTTGTATTTTGATCGCATGAAAACATTGAAGACTGTAACTTAAATTAATTTATATTATTACTCTATCAAACTATTATAAAAAATTAGAAAAAAGTACCACTGTTGTTATAAATGAAATGCTTCTGTTTGTTTTGTCCAAATAGTTATGTTGTAGGCTGTACAAATATGGATTGGGGAGAGAGTAGTTGAGCATGTGCAATTTATGTATATAAAACATTCAAGATATTTGACTAATTCCTTATGGAATAGGTAACGTTTTTTAAAAAAAGGGAAAAAATATGTGTATAATTTTAAGACAGTTGTTCTTTCAGAATTATCAAAATTTTGGACGTAGGCCGGTCGTTATTGATCATGTTTGTCTCTATAGTCAAAATATTCTTCGTTGCTAGGATATCTTAAGTTAGTGTAGATAAAAAAATTGATTGCGCCTGTTGGGTGCATGCGCACTAAATGCACGCAGAGAGGGACGAGACGCAAGGGACGGGAGGCTGCGGGAATGGAATGTCGATGACGCAGCCGGGCCGGCCATGGTCGCGAACTCGTTGTTATGTGAAACTGTTTAAAGGCACACTTGCTCATCCCCATCCTTCTCCCTAGACTACATCTAACCGGTAATCTTATAGCAACGAAGTTATTTCCACAAGCAATGGAATATTGTTAGCTGCTTTAGTAAAAACATCAGAACATAGTAATTTATTAACTCATTATTAAAGACAAAATAAATGTACAGGAATAAAATGGACACAACATATTTAGGAAAGTGAACAACAATATATCATTCTATATTACAAACAGACATTACAGACATATTACATTACCTACTATAACTAAAACAGTTTAAGGCAGATTAATTTTAAAATAGTCTAAGTTAATAAAAAATCCACAAATAATTAAAAGGAGGCTATTGTAATTAGAACTCGACCAGAGGGCGCACATTACGACAAAAACCTCTAGAAAAGTTCTTATTATTTCTAACCCATTCATCAAATTAACTGAACAGATGATGAGAACGATAAATTAGTTATTAGCTGTCATATGGTCCTGTTTCGTTTCTCGGACAGAGTCAAAATTAGTTATTGGATTTGTCTGTCAAGAAATTCTCAGTTGTAGTTCGTAGTCAGGAAATTGGCGGTGGTGTAATCACCGTGGCTCGGAAAGCTTGTAAAGCCATTAGTCCTGGGCCTGATATTTTTCCGGTGGTGTCGGGTCGTCGTCCCATCGGACTATGTGAGTGAGGGAAGTGCACCTGTGCTTCCGATCACATTCGTACACCATATTCCTGTCCTGCGTCTCGGGTAGTCTGCTGCTAGTCTCCATTGGGAGTGGATACTGGCCGCCTTGACTGTAATTCGGTCTGAAGGACAAATCTTTGTCGTGACGATAATATTAGATGATACAATGATGAGAATGATTGAAATACCATTTTTATTTTTCACAACAAGTTATGTTATAATAAATAACGTTAGCGAATCGGGTGCCGAAATACAAATGACCATATTTCCTGTTGGTTATTTACTTAGCTCACGTAAATAAATATAATGTAAGAGGGACCTTCAACAAAAAGTGAGAATTAGTATGTAATAGGTACGAGGGCGGCACTGAAAATTTCGGGAATCAAGGAAGTGACACAACGTTACTATTTAAAAATGTATTTATTGCTTTTCGAAGTATTCTCCGCGAAATTTGACACATTTTTCCATACGATGGAACCAATCATTGAAGCAACCATTCCATTCAGAAATTGGGGTCTCCAAAATGGCCGTTTTGTAGGCGTCCACAGCTTCTTCAGGTGATGAAAATCTCTGTCCACGCAATTTATTCTTTATTTTAGGGAAAGTATAGAAATCATTAAGGCTTAGGTCGGGGCTGTAAAACTCTTTTGTTCTGTGTGCGGTGTGAGAACTCGCATTGTCGTGATGGAGGATGATGCGGCGGTTGCAGTTCTCTTTACGGAGTTCAGAAACAACCTGTGGCAAACAAATGCTAGCATACCATTCTGAATTAACCGTTCTTTGTCCCTCAAAAGGAATAGTCGTAACATGGCCCGTTTTGGAGACAAACGTGGCCACCATTTTTTTGCAACACTCCGTGAACGAACAATTTTTGATGGCTTTAACTCATTTTCAAACACCCAAACTCGTGACTGGTTTTTTGTTTCGGGTTCGTACGCGTATATCCAGGATTCGTCACCTGATACGATGTTTTATACAGCATTTGAGGATCCTGCGTGGAATCTTTCGAGAGTTCTGATGCACCAAGTAACGTGAGCCGCTTTTTGCTCTTCGCAGAGCGAATGCGGTATCCATCAGGAAAACAACTTTTTTACACCTAATTGTTCATGCAAGATTATTTGTATTTGACTCATGCCAATGTCTAAAGTTGCCTGAATTTGGCGGTATGTCACATGTCGATCTTCCTCAATCAGCTTACGCACAGCATCAACGTTTTCTTGGGTGACTACAGTTTTTGGACGACCTTGACGGGAATCATCACTGAGCTTGACACGTCCACGTTGAAATTCAGCAAACCAGCGATAAATTGTGGTTTTGGATGGGGCTTCATCACTAAATGCAGAAATCATCCGGTCAACACACTGTTTTTGTGTTAAACCACTTCGAAAGTCATAATAAATCATCGCTCTTGAATTTTCTCGAGTCAATTCCATTTTCTCAACGACTAAACAAGTTTGACAAAACCGAGAATCTTTTTTTAAATAAATAAATGGTATTCGATTTTTAAAACCAAGGAGTTTTCAATTAAAAAGATTTTAATATGACAGGAACAGTGGAAATATTCCATTCCCGATACTTTTAGTGCAGCCTATGTACCTAACTTTTATTAAATGTTATTTTAACTTTTGATACTCACATCTTTTTCTTAAGAACTCTACCCTGAGCACCTAAATATTCCTGTTTCCTGTACTGCAGCGGCTATTGCTTCATCTTCTCATCCTTTACCTCTCACAATACTTCGGTGACTTGATTTTCGGAAATAGATAAAAATCACTATATAATGAATATGCTCAAATATAACAAGGCTAACATCTCGAATTGTGTAGCCTGTTGTATCTTGGTGAAAAAAATTGCCGGAGTTTGCCTTCGTATCTTTTTATAGGAAAGGGTGACAAACGAGCACACAGCCCACCTGATGGTAAATGGTTGCTGTGACCCATAGACATCTACATTTATCCTCAATAAAGAATCAAAATGCAGATGCGTCGTCACCCGTGAGGACTAAGATAGAATGCTTCTTTTCCAGTAAAAGGGGGTCTCCGGTTCTCTACATTCACCATACGAAACACAGCAGCGTCAAACTGCCATTTTACGCTGGTATTATCTGAGAGCGTGGTCCATCCCCGGTCGAGCCGACCCATTCGTGCTACAACTATACTACTAATATAGCTGCAGCATACTCTCTACCACGTATACATTTTTTTAAATTATATTAAATTATTTGTTTCGCATACAAAGTCCCTGTAACAGTAGACAGATATTTTCAATCGTTACTATCTCGAATATTATTGAAAAGAGAGCGATGTTATTCGAAAGGACTCTTCCTGAATTTCTTATATGTCGAAATCTTTGTTTCTTAAGAAATTGAGTACGCTATGACACGACGATCTGCAAAAAAAAATTTTCACGTTTAAATTCGTCGCACGAACGTCCAACTGTAGAAATACAACGGAGTCTTAATGTATCCCGTAAATCTTGATTGCCTTATTCTGTAGCGAAATTTTTAAGCACAGATACTTAATAACGCGCTGTTTATTATTAGATGGTACTATCTAATAATAAACAGCACGTAATTGAGTTTTTTGTTTTTCAATTTTTAAAAACACAAAAAGCAAACAAATTACTGCTGTTTTTTTAAACAAAGAGGGTATTTTACAGATAGTACGTACAGCTTAAGCTGTCAGCATTTATTTTTCAAAATTACCCGTGTTTACACCGCATTCTCACTTTTTTGGAACGCCCTTCGTAGACAAGACTAACGAAGGTTATATCAAATTAAATCTACTTACTGGCTGATAAAACAGCTGTTTCACGTCTTGGTAATGTAATTTGTAGGTTACCTTTGTATTGTTGATGACCATTGTGGATTAAGAATGAAATAAAAGCATTTGTGAATTTTAGTGTTGTATTTTCTTTCAAAAAAATGAGAATGAACTTAAATAGACCTGAGCAAAAAGGTTCCCTGAGTTAACATTCATTTTTTCTTCTTTTCAGTGGCAGCCAGCAATTCTGCATCACCTCTCACCACCCAAATGGTGACACAACTATTTAGAAGTGCACCCAGGGAAGCCAAACTGCGGCCTCTTGTAGACCCTTTAGTACTCCCAAGTCCCGGCTGTGAGGTGAATAATGGATCGACATCGTCGTCGCCGTCCGCTGTATCGCCAACAATTTCTTCTGACAAAACCGATAACCACGACACTTTCGGCTTCTACCCAGAAGCGCCTGATATGCGGCGCGAAGAAGAGCGACTTAAGACATTCGACAAGTGGCCTGTATCGTTCTTGCCGCCTGAACAACTCGCCCAAAATGGATTTTATTATTTTGGTCGTGGTGACGAGGTTCGTTGCGCATTCTGCAAAGTCGAAATTATGAAATGGGCCGAAGGCGATGACCCAGCAAAAGATCATCAGCGATGGGCGCCTCAATGCCCCTTTTTAAGACATCAGACGGCATCTGGAAATGTTCCCTTGGAATCTCCTGCTGCCGCTGGCCGAGATGAATGTGGAACTAGAGCACCTCCTAACGCTACTCCCGTACGAATGCCGGGTCCCGTTCATCCTCGCTACGCTTCCGAAGCAGCTCGTTTACGCACCTTTAAAGACTGGCCTCGATGTATGCGACAAAAACCAGAAGAGCTGGCAGAAGCCGGGTTTTTCTACACTGGTCAGGGTGATAAAACCAAATGTTTTTATTGCGACGGAGGCCTTAAAGATTGGGAGAATGACGACGTTCCATGGGAGCAACATGCGCGCTGGTTTGATCGTTGCGCTTATGTTCAACTCGTAAAGGGCCGTGACTACGTTCAAAAAGTCATATCGGAAGCTTGTGTGATCCCAGCGCCAAAAGAAGAAAAGGAAGCAACGTCAACGTCCACTGCTTCTCAATCAAATAGCGAGAAGGAAGATGTCGTTGTCGAGGATTCCAAACTTTGTAAAATATGTTATGCGGAGGAACGCAATGTCTGTTTCGTACCGTGCGGTCATGTGGTCGCATGTGCAAAATGTGCGCTATCGACGGACAAGTGCCCGATGTGCCGAAGGACGTTCACTAACGCAGTTCGTTTATATTTTTCGTGAGGAGAGTCCGATCGCGGACTCGATGCTAGTCACTTCATCGGGCGGCCCTGAAGCGTGCTGAAACCACGCTCAGCAATAAACCGCTAATTCTGTGATTTTAACATATGTATAATATATTAAAACGCAGTGAGTCAACTCCTAAACTCCAGTTGGCCGCGAGTTTGACGAGCAGGAGTTCAGTGTAGATGTTGATATGATTTTAAATTATTTATTGTTTAAAAATATAATGACAAATGTAAATATCGTATTGTAAATATTTAGCTTATCATTTTGTCCCACCGGCAGAAATGATGGTGTACACTTATAACACCTTTATTGCAAGAAATGACATTTTGGAATTTTCCATTTGAAATTGAATAAACCGACATTGTTATAGTAGAATGATTTTGTAGCCAAAATAGAAAAAAGCTTATTGAGCGTTATTGAATCGATAAATATTTCTGTTTTGTCTTATTTGAATTCATTTAAGATTCCTATTTATGGCCGATAGCATACAAAGCTCGACGAAAAATTACGATGAACCTTTTACTTCTTTTAAATTGGTTACTTAGTAATTAGTATTCAACAGTAGTATCTGACTAATAAAATGTTTTCACTTGGAGTAGTCTTTAAAAAAATTAATATAGAACCTATGGTTGATCATGTATCCTCATTTTTCGAAATGCCAGTTTTTTAATTGTATTTTTATAAAGTTTTTCTTATTCCTTGAACTGACATATTCATGCCAATATATTTACATTTAACTAATTCATACCTAATGTCGTCTGCTCTTTACTTTCAATAATTGTTTAATATATTTTAACAGATAGTATTTGATATAAATATATTTTGCATTAGTATGGTATTTCTTGCAATAAAATAGACGTTTGTCACATATGTAAATTATAAAAGTAATATCTTATTAGTATGATAAAAATATTGAATGAAAACGATATCAAGTGGTAGTAAACTATTCAAAATTGCAGTTACATAATATAATGACATTGTTAGTCATTCCTGTAAATATTTTATTTTGACAATAAAGGCCAACTGATTTGTGAGGCAACAAGTAGGTAGGCATTATGATAAGCGGAGTAAATTTGGCTATTGTGAATTAAATTACTCTTAATAATAAGTATATTGAGAAATTCAGAATTCATTCCAATCACAATATGTTTAAAACCAAAGTAAAAAAGTAACAATATAGGCCTGATGTGAAATAGTACTGTAGATTTTGCATTTACATTAAATTATAACAAACATGTGATAACTATGGAATATACACATCAGCATTACTAAATACACATTTGCACTAATAAGTACTGAGAATTTTATTTTCTAATCTATTAAATCATGAAACACGTCATATCATATAATGTCTCCATACAACTAGTAATATATAAGATTAGGTCCAATATTTTTAATATTTTTGCTTATTAATATTTTACAACTTTAAAAATATTTCGATGACAAATGTTTTTAGAACTGTGAAATACATTTACAGATCAGCAAAATTAAATAATTGGGCTTATTGATCATAATTTTAGACATACAATTTAATTATATCCGTAAAAATTAATTATTAAGAGAATTTATAAAAGTCATGTTCAATTTGTTTTCATAATAGGTAATTATTATTTGATCCTGTTGATGTTTTAAATAAAGATGAAAATGTTACATAAACTAATCTTTGTTTCATTTACAATAATCAGTAGTTGGTTTGGTAGTCTAAGACCAGAATTATAAAAAATATTATTTTGTTAACAAGGGTGACAAAACAGTATACAGTACTTCTGACGGTACGTAGATGCTGCTGCTATCATCATCATTATAGATTCACTGCTGAACATAATAGGTATCCCTCATAGATTGCCTAAGCAAAGCAAGCTTCTTCTTGTGCATAACACCCGGTTTATTTAACAACTAGCAAGCTTATTTTGGCCCTTTTTCATTCATTACAGCCTATTACTAGTCCACTGCTGAACATGGTCCTCCCCCATAGAGTGCTTCATGGATATTTATAATAGCTGCAACGCTTGGCAGGTGGTTTGGTTATTATTATTTGTCCGAGGTGTTATCAGGAAGATGCTGCTGCACATCTGTCTTAGATCCCTCTATCGCCTCTTATGACACGTAGAATGATAAGGGGTAGTGGATTTTCTTCTTACGCCGTCACTATACGATTATTTGATTAAGTAATAATCGATATACTGGTATGTTGTTATCCCTAAGTCGTCTTAGAATGCCTCTATAATAGTAAAAAAAATGTTCTAGTCACAATACAGAACGACAGCATTATGCTGCTATTTTAGTATTCTGTGTGGCAGAGGCTCTTCAAGTATAGTATGAGGGTGCAACAGGTAAATTTCATGTATGCCCAGCGAAGCCTTTCACCTTGTTATCAGATATATTTATACGCAATAACAGTGGCGTAACTATACCGTTAGAGATACGTGGCGAAACAGATTCGTTGCGGCACCGATTTTCGATAACTTTTAGCTGTAGCGGCGAACAAATATTTCATGACACCCCTGGCGTGTAACGTGCGCCACAGAAGTTGATGACACGCCTCTTGTGCCATCAGCCATGTTTAAAAATAATTTTCTTTTTTATACTTTTTTCACTTGTTTAGACCTAATTAAGTTTAGTTGACATCAAACATCAGTTACTAACGGAAGGATACTTGTTTTTAGTGGGTAACTACGTGTTTTTCTACATGTTTTCTTTGAAATTGAGAGTAGTTACTTTTTTATGCAGAGATTACAAACCATTTGTACTATTTTTTGTTTTATAAAAATCATTTATATAAGTAGGTACAACTAAATCACTGAGGTCACAGGGATCTCATATGGCAGTGTTCAAAGAATCCTTGCGAACAAATTGCATATAAAGTCTCTGCGCGTTGGGTAACGAGAATGTTAATCGACGAGCAAAAGAAAAAAACAAGTCGACATTTCGAGGATGAATCACGAAACTTAACAAAAATTGTTCCTGATCTGCTTGGAAGCAGATCAGGAACAATTTTTGTTAAGTTTCGTGACCTCGATTCATTATTTTGATCCTGAAACCAAATAATCAATGGGTTGGAAACGACTCTCCAAAGTGTCAAATTCGGCGGGAAAGGTCATGGCGTCCGTTTTGTAGGACGCCGAACTATTTCGGGCTCTTACTACGCAGGCCAAATAAATAAGATTGCGGGAAGCTTTTAAGACCAAGACAACGCTTCGGCTCACAAAGCCGTAGTTGCGATGGCTGCCATTTGAGAAACGGGATTTGAACTGCTCGAACACCAGCCCTATTCACCAGATCTAGCTCCCAGTGACTTCTATTTCCTCGGCTCAAGGAACACCTTCGAGGCAAGAAATTTGCAGACGATAGCGAAGTGATGGACGCTTGGAGGGTCAAGATAAAGATTTTTTTCTGGGTTTTGAAAAAAATAGGCTAAATGCATTGACTTTTTAGAGAGTTTATGTAGAGAAAAAAATATTTCTTTAACAATAATCACCGTGTTTAATATTCATTATCATTACTTTTGGATCACCCCTCGTAAATATATATTAAAATAGTAAAATATATAAATAAAAAATACATAAATAAATATCAACCCAACCAGACGGAAGCGCTCTGCAGAGGAGCCGAGGATTAGAGAGAAAAGGAAAAAAACCGACGAAGGATCGGGCGATATCGAACAGCACCGCCTTTTGCATTTGAGCCCGAAACGATCACTAACGAAGTCTCAGTCGCCTCAGATGACCCGAGAGGCTGACCGGGATCGGCCCATTCGCAGAATCGACTACAGGGATAATTTCGGTCGGCAGACCACCCGACTTGTTAGTCACCTCATAAGCCAGGGCCAGATATTTTGTTTGCTTACCATGTTTCGGCTTTCACGTGGTTCTCGTCATACGGAATGGTAATGTCGAACAAAAATATCATTGCCTGTGCCTGGTCCATCAGCAAAATGTCAGGATTATCCGCACGAATAGTTTTGACTGTGATGATGGCCCCGTCCCAGTAGAGCCAGGCGCGGTCATTTTCGCGCACGGCTTCCGCAAGTACTTGTAATAAATAAGGCAATTTCTAATCCACGAAACCGTATTCAGAGCGAACTCCTGGTGTAGAACCCTGGCTACTAGATTGTGTCTGTGTACTCAGAGTTAGAAAGCGACGAACAACCGGAGATGACATACCTAAGCAGGCGCGTTCCGAAGGGGAGGGTCACAGGGGACATGACCCCAAAATCGTACAAGTCAAATTGCAAAATCTAAAAACTACTGACAGACTCTTCGCGATAATTATCAAGGAAATAACGAGGAATATTTTCGGAGGACTGTTTATATTCCACTGATAGATAGCGTAATGACTAACTTACAAGACCGACTTACTGTGGATACGAATTAGATATGAGCGCCGAAGGCAAATTCCACGGCGGCGGTGTGGTCCTTAGATATTTATTATTTTAAAGAAAAAAATTCTTAAAAAAAAAACTTAAAGGAAACCATTTTGTTGTTACCAAACAGCTTTATATTTTTTAATAAAGCCCTGGAGAGCCCCAGCCCATGGATGGGAACAGTATACCATGTGAGGCCGAACCTGCGCCTTGTCAAGTGGCAGGTGGAGTGCCGGCATGAAATACTGTCCCGCTCTGCTGAACGCGCCAAGCTTTTTAGATTCCAATTTGGCGTTCTCTTCCAAGTGAACACGAAATTGCACATCACTCGGTATGTCGACGCCGAAGATTCAGATAATGGCTGAGGCAACAAGGGGAGTTCTTTGAAACTGAGAAAATGCTCCAATCTGCAAGAAAGCTGGCGATCCAATTGTACAATTTCTCGGGAAGCCCATAGGAAGGGAGCTTGGAAAGAAGCGCTTTGTGTCAAACCCGATCGAAGGCCTTCGCAATATCCAAACTAACGGCCAATGCCTCTTCCTTGGAGTCTACTACCTCCGCTCATCTATAAGTCAAGTAAACCACAAGATCACCAATTGATCGATCCCAACGAAAATCGTATTGGCGGTCACTAATCAGCTGGTGGTCCTCAAGATACGTATGAGCTGGCAGTTTATAATGGATTCCATTATTTTAGAGAACAAGAAGGTGATGGCAATAGGCTTGTACTTAGACGGGTCTGAGCGGTCGCTTTTTTAGGGATCGGGTGGACGAAAGCCGTCTTCCATGAATTCGAGACTACGCCTAGGGAGTAGGAATACCAGAAAGGACGCTTTAGAACCGATGCCAACTCTGGATCACACGTCATCAGCTCAATTGGAGGGATTTTAAAGCCCACTCGACTTGTGAATGTGCAGAGGAATGCTTTTTGAACCGACGGCTGTGTGAACTGAACGGCGGTGTGCTCCCCCCGTAATCGTGAGTCGAGTTGGACGCAAAGAAAGAGCCTAGCAGATCGGCTTTCTCCTTTACGGCATGGGCCAGTGAGTCGTCCTCCCTGTGCAGAGATGGAAGAGATAGCTCACAGAAGTTTCCTTGGACAGCCTTGGCAAGACATCAGAATGCACGGGTTTTCGAAGGAAGGCGAACTAGTTTCTCGACAATTCTGTTGTGTGCTCTGACTTTGGCAATGACTCTTTTGAAGGACCTGGAGGCGGAATTATAATTCTTTTTAAGGGTGCTAGTGGTTACATTCCGAGACGTTAATCTTAAGCCCAGGCCCGGTAGCACTCCTGCTTATAGCGTGATCCTATTTTACAGGAGCGACCAAATCATGGCTGAGATCTGCCTTCGATGGGCACCACAGAGGAAGGAATAAAATGTTCCATAGCCTGAAGTACCACATCAGTGACAGAATTAGCAACAACGTTGGGATCGTCCGGCAAGAAGAAAACCTGCCCACAAGGGTAAGATGCAAAGAAGGACCGCATCTTTTATCAATCGGCGACCTATAGTGCCAAACACGGCGACAGCCTGCAGAATGCAACCGCGATGTTAGTGTGAATGACACCACACTCCAGACTAGACAATGGTCCAAGGAGCAAAGAGGGGCGTCGGCGGAGACCTGATATCTATCCGGATGAGAGGTCAGCAGAAGGTCCAACAGTGACGGCGCATGATCATCCACATCTGGAATCCGCGTGGGCGAAATGTGAATGAATTCATAAATGATTGATTGAAGTAACTAGTTGTGTCAGACCATATGTCGGTTCTCGGTTAAACGTTAACCGAGCCATTTGGCGTGGTGGGCGTTACAATCACCGAGGATTGTAACGCCCTCTACGACGATCTCTACGTATGGGATCTGCTGTAGCAAGGAATCTATAGCCATTTGGACGTGATCGATGAATCGGTCTGTTTCGGCATTACCGCTATGGGACCTATAGAGGCAACCGTAGACGCGTGATGGTCGTCGCTCTCTACGCGTAGCCAAAGGCTGGACAGGTCCGAACCTTCAAGACTGCCGAGGCGTCGAGAACAGATGTCCTCTCTGATGTATACGCAAACTCCAGCCCGAGGCACAAAGGGGTATTCCAATTTGTACCCCGGATAGGAGAGATACGAAGTATCAGCTGGAGAGAATGCCTTTGTTTCGGTCAGTAAGAGCAAGGCCGGCTTCGCCATCTAGAGATGGTACTAGAGATGGTAGTGGACAGAATTTAGGTTCGAGGAAAGTCCCCTGATGTTGCAGAAATTCACGGATAGCGTGGCTGGGGTCGCCTTGGCCTTATTGCT